GTCTGTGCCGACCTTCGCCGGAAACAAGATCCTCGAAAACCCCCGGAACCGTGAGCTAGGATCACTGTTGCACCACACTGCCAGCATTACCTCGTTGAGTTTCCCTTCACGAACCAAGTTACTCGCAGCCGGAGAAGACAACACAATCTCCGTCTCCAAGACCCGTGACTGGACCGTCGTATCAACTATCAAAGCACCAAACCCAAAAATTCAAGGACGACCAAGCGGTGACACGGCGCCTCTCGGAGCTGCTCCGTCTGGAGTGAACCATTTTGCGGTGCACCCCAGTATGAAGCTTATGCTGAGTGTTGGACGAGGAGAGAAATGTATGAGATTGTGGAATCTCGTGACCGGCAGAAAGGCTGGTGTGTTGAACTTCACTAGGGAAGTCCTACAAGGTGTCAAGGAGTCGAGATGGAGCACTGGAGAAGGTCGGCGCATCGCATGGGACTCTGAGGGAGAGGAGTTTGCCGTCGCTTTCGAATGGGGTGCAGTCGTGTTCGGAATCGTAAGTTATCTGGATAGTATCCCGTTGAACAAATTTCTGACTATTGGCATAATAGGACTCGGTTCCAAGATGCAGAGTTCTTCCTAGCCCACGCAGCAAACTTCACCAGATGAAGTATGTTTCTTTGCCTTTGAAGGGTGGTGAAAAGGAAGATTTCTTGGCTGTTTCTACAGAGGATGGCCGAGTGATCTTCTATTCGACCAAAGAGCTGAAAAAGGCGGAGGATGATACTGAATGCTCAATTCCCCATGCTACCCCTGTTGCTCAGGTTGGTGGAAAGGAAGCTGGGTTCCCTGGCCGCATCAAGGATTTCGAAATCCTCGCACTTGAAGGTCAAGCAAAGGAACTCCGTAACGACTTCTTGGTCGTCACCGGTAACAGCGACGGAGTGGTCCGTGTCTGGAAGGCTGCTGGGAAAGAAATTTCTGCAGCAAAGCAAGAGAAGAAGGATACAACTCATATTGGAAAGCTCTTGGCCACCAATGAAACTGGTAACCGCATCACATGCTTGGCTGCCTTTGTCATGTTGCCTGCGGAGGATCCGTCTACATTGATAGACTCCGAAGACGACTCTGAAGATGAAGTAGAGTCATCGAGTGATAGTGACAATGAGTAACCTCTCATTGCTCTCAACTGTTATACCCTTTGTACCGTCAAATAGATCCCCAGTGGCAACCAATGTATCATGAACATGAAAAAAAAAGGCCCCGAGCCTGATGTCCTAGAAAATAATTATGATTCTATTTTGAGATATTTCCTCTTTCAAACCTGAAAGTTCGAACTATGACTCCCATCACTGCTCTATAAACCGGGTGTGGCACATCTGACGATGTCGCTATATTAGTTGGCAGGGATTTTCACGGGAAAAGATGAGTGAGTCACCCACAATAAACCGAAACACAACATTAAAACTGTATAAAATAACTGGAATAAACACCCATTTGCATTATATATGTAACTAGCATATTTACTTAAACAGTTATAACGTAGATGAAATGTAAAGTTGCCATCCAGACACCGCCCGGCTCTCCACTACACACAATCCCCCACCTACATTCTTTCATTATCATATCGCCCGCGGGAAGCAAATTTCATCCGACCTTCCACCTTCTATCCACCAGCTCTGTCTCCGTCTAACCACTTTGCGTTTTCACTTAACGCCGCTGCTGATTGCGCATTGATTTTCTATTCTACTTTGCAAACATGGCTTCCAACGGCGATTTCTCCGACGAGGGATCCCAACCCGGCTCACCTTTACTCGATGCCCACAATGCTCGCGGAGAGGTCGAGGAACAGGAGCCCCTTGAGCAGGAGGAGAAGCCTCTCAAGTCTGCCATGAAGAAGGCTGACTCTGCTCCTCAACCGAAGCGCCCAGAACTGCCCGAGCAGCCTAACCCGGACACCCTTGACCTGTCAAAATTGACGCCTCTTTCGCCTGAGATCATTGCCCGCCAAGCTACTCAGAACATTGGTATGTGACTTATTGGTTTCTGGAAGCTTCTGCGCTCAGAAATGCACTTCATCTATTAGATCCTATTTTAGAAGATAACAAATTTACTAACGTGATTATCAGGCACGATCGGACATGTCGCTCAGTTAGAGATCCTCTCTCGCCTTTTTCTTCCCACACGCATGCTAATATAATTCTAGCGGCAAATCCACCGTTGTCAAGGCCATTTCCGAGGTTCAAACCGTCCGCTTCAAGAACGAGCTTGAGCGCAACATTACCATTAAGCTTGGTTACGCCAACGCGAAGATCTACAAGTGTGACAGCCCCGAGTGCCCTCGACCTACATGTTACAAGAGTTTCAAGAGTGAGAAGGAAATTGACCCGCCATGTGAGCGCGAAGGATGTCAAGGCCGTTACCGTTTGCTGGTATGTTCTCCTGCTCCTTCCCCTCTGAAGTCCAATCTCAGAACCTTTCCTCAAGTGGTCCTAATCTAATGTCTTATACAGCGTCACCTTAGGTATCATCAATCCCCAGTCTACCCCCAACCTGGAGGTTCCTCCCTTGTTTATTAATTATAAGCTAACCTTTAACCCAACAACAAAGTTTCGTCGATTGCCCTGGTATGTTCGCTAGATCCGTCTCTGCCCAAAGTTGAAAGCACCGCTAATCTTCAATTATAGGTCACGATATTCTGGTTAGTCTTCATTCCCTTGCGCATCTTGGGAAAATCATCTTTTTTTTTTGAGAGTTGATGCTAATCAGCTTTGCACAGATGAGCACTATGCTTTCAGGAGCTGCGGTCATGGTAGGTTTCATCCCCCACTGCAGCAAATAGGATTTCAAGGGATTGGTTATAAGCTAACATCATTATACTAGGATGCCGCTCTTCTCTTGATTGCCGGAAACGAAACTTGCCCTCAACCCCAGACCTCGGAGCACTTGGCTGCCATTGAGATCATGAAGCTCAACCACATCGTCATTCTCCAAAATAAGGGTAAGCTCTTGGTTCTTGCAATCTTTTGATGAAACGGAACACTGACGTTTGAAAATAAAACAGTTGACCTCATGCGAAGCGATAATGCCCTCGAGCATTACCAGTCGATTCTCAAGTTCATCCGTGGTACCGTTGCTGATGGCTCGCCTGTTATCCCCATTTCCGCACAGCTGAAGTACAACATTGATGCTGTCAACGAGGCACTTGTCCAGACGATCCCCATTCCTATTCGCAACTTCGAGGCTACACCTCACATGATGATCATTCGTTCGTTCGATGTCAACAAGCCCGGTGCCGAGATCGATGAGCTCAAGGGTGGTGTTGCCGGTGGTTCCATCCTTACTGGTGTTGTAAAGCTGGATGATGAGATCGAGATCCGCCCTGGTCTCGTCACCAAGGACGAGCAGGGCAAGATCCAGTGCCGTCCCATTTTCTCTCGCATTGTGTCTCTGTTCGCTGAGCACAATGACCTCAAATTTGCCGTTCCCGGTGGTTTGATCGGTGTTGGTACCCGTGTCGACCCCACGCTTTGCCGTGCCGATCGTCTTGTCGGTTTCGTTCTCGGTCACCGTGGCCGCCTCCCCGCCATCTACACCGAGATTGAGGTCAACTACTTCCTCCTCCGCCGCCTTCTTGGTGTCAAGACCGCCGACGGCAAGCAGGCCAAGGTTGCCAAGCTTGCTAAGAATGAGGTTCTGATGGTTAACATCGGTTCTACCGCTACTGGTGCTAAGGTCCTCGGTGTCAAGGCCGATGCCGCCAAGCTCAGCTTGACCAGTCCCGCCTGTACTGAGGTTGGCGAGAAGATCGCCATCAGTCGCAGAATCGAGAAGCACTGGCGTTTGATTGGATGGGCCAACATTGTTGCGTAAGTTTACGGGTTTGATATTACTTCTGATGACAAATGCTGACTGTTTCAATTCGCAGTGGTAACACCCTCGAGCCCGTGCAGCAGTAAAGCAATCCTTTGAACGATTTCCCAGTTCGAAATGGGGCTTGGGGAATGAGGTCCGTTATGTCGGAGGAGTTGATTTGCACATAAATCTTGCTATATCCCCCAATAACAATCTCACCCCCACTGACCCTCGAACACGAGTCTTGCGATCTATGATTGCAAAAAAGTTTATGGTCATGACGAGTCGGAAAATTAAAGACGTGATTTAACTGATTCCCCCGGCTGAATAGAGAAGATGGAGGAGACATGCAATCCTGTATTGTCGCCACCTTGATCGGTTTCCCTGCTTCATGCCTGTCAGCGACCTAATGATTATATTTGGTCCGTGGCTACATGCTAGCTAGGGTTTGATCTGAGGGACGGACGACGAACGGGATGCAGGTGAAGTCGGCGAATAAGATATGTGCTTTTTATTTCCATCGTACGAGGGAGTTGTTTTTAAGAGGTTTCCTGTTTATTGCTCTTTTTTTTGTCTGCATCATCGGATCTTATGTAGATAGACCTATATAGGTCTGCGGTTTAAAATGCAGGGGAATTAGGGCCGGCACAATTGAAGAGCATCTGCATGTTTAATCGATTTACAGGTGGAGTCTTCGTCTGACAAAACTAGAATCAAAAACATTTGAAAATGAGGGTAGAGGCTCCCACTAGATAGTTTGCATGTTGGATGTATATATTCCACAACTTGGGAGTACGACCACTCGTATTATCTCGCAAAGGTATGGCCATGTACCCCAAGACACTTGGTATTGTTGTTATAAATAGAGAGACTCAAGCGTCACCAAGAGAATGCAAATATAGATAGACATACAATATTCGAGTATTATCCACGTCTACTGTTATAGCAGCTCTACAGACTTTAGCAATGGCATACAAGTTATTTACATTGAGATATTGGTAGACTGAAATCCAATGAACTGCTATTAATTCCTCGTCTTGCACCTTAGATATTCAACCCGAAATAAATCAGTCTCTATAGTCAAGAGATTTAATTCCTGAGATCGACGTTGCGTCCGGCCCCATATAATGCCCGTCATGCATGATATCTGACTAAGGCTGCCGATAATAACAAAGTATCATCTTCTGCCTTCAACAACGTCTTCTTTCTTCGCCTAGTTGCGCGATTTCAATCATGTATATCCTCGAGGTAAGTTGATTTGATTGAAATACCATCATCTTTACAAGGTGAATTCGTTTTCCACCATGAACACGTCGCTAATAACTATCTCCATCCAGCAATTGGCGCGCTTGCTCGATCGCCCGCTCTTCCCATGGAAGAACGTGCTTGTGGGCTTCTCACTGGGCCAGTTCGTCCTTGAAGGTTTCCTCTCACTCCGACAGTATAAGTTTTTGCAACGTACGAAGCCTCCCCAGGTTCTCGCAGGGGAGGTTACCCAGAAGGTCTTCGACCAGAGTCAGGTATGAACCCGATGACGCAGCATTATACTATATCCAGAGGCTTATTAGAGTATCATAACAGGCATACGGTCGCGCAAAGGCCAAGTTCAGCTTCGTTTCCGGTCTTTACGGTCAAATCCAAAACCTTGCTTTCATTTACGGCGATGTCCTCCCCAAGATCTGGGGCCTCAGCGGTCTGGTGCTGGCTCGGTACCTCCCTGGTCGGTTCCAAGGCGAAATCTGTCAAACATTGGTATTCTTCTTCGGTTTCAACATTCTAAGCACTATCCTCTCGCTGCCTGTCTCGTACTACAACACGTTTGTGCTCGAGGAGAAGTTCGGTTTCAACAAGCAGACGGCTAAGCTTTGGATTACGGATATGCTCAAGGGTCAGATGCTTGGAATTGTTTTGGGAGCTCCCATTATCAGTGCCATTCTTAAGATCGTGCAGAAGTTTGACAGCTCGTTCTACTACTACCTCTGGCTCTTCGGTGTCTTCCTCCAGGTCTTCGCCATTACTATCTACCCTATTGCGATTCTGCCTCTGTTCAACAAGCTTTCTCCCCTTCAGCCCGGTGAACTCAAGACTGGTGTCGAGAACCTGGCCAAGAGACTCGAATTCCCTCTCTCCGAGCTGCATGTCATTGACGGGAGCAAGCGTAGTGCCCACAGCAATGCCTACTTCTACGGTCTGCCATGGAAGAAGCACATTGTCATCTACGATACTCTGATCGAGAAGACAGAGCCCGAGGAGGTTGTTGCTGTGCTTGGCCATGAGCTTGGCCACTGGAGCCTCAGCCACACCACCAAGCTGTTCGGTATTGCCCAGGTACGAGTTTGCTTAGTTGCCCTTTTGGTGAATTACCACTAACTATGTAATTTAGGCCCACATGTTCTACATCTTTGCTCTCTTCTCCGTCTTTGTCAACAACAAGTCGCTGTACCAGTCCTTCGGATTCGTCAAGGAACAGCCTATCATGATTGGTTTCCTGCTCTTTTCCGACGCCCTGGCTCCTATGGATGCTGTCGTGAAGCTTCTCATGAACATCCTTAGCCGCAAGTTCGAATTCGAGGCCGGTATGTTCCGTTCGATCTATCCCAGTACGCTCATATACTAATTGTATTCCCCAGATGAATTTGCCCAGAAACTTGGTTACTCCGACAAGCTCGCCTCCTCGCTCCTGAAGCTCCAGATCCAGAACCTGAGCACTATGGACGCCGATCCCATTTACGCTAGCTACCACTACTCTCACCCCATCCTCACCGAGCGTCTCGCTGCGCTTGGCTGGAAGGGTGGTAAGGTCACCAGCAGCAAGGAGGAGGACAGTGAAAAGCCCGTCAAGGCCGCGGACCGCGAGCTGTAAACCGGAAGCGTGTTCTGTCGGCGATCTTCGTATGATATGGGCATGATTTTTTTTTGTGCCAGTGGCATGTTGAGGCACCAATCTCGAGGAGAAAGAGCGAGGCTTGGAAATGTTCCATTATGTATTGATTGGATTGTAGCAATCCGTCTAAACTCTAAATGACACTTTTTGTCCAGACATGAAATGCGAGCAGTACTTTTTTTTTTAGTACGTCCAAAACTCAAACCCAGCCCAGAGTAATAAGAGCTAGAGAACGAATAGAAAAGAAAATAGACTCCGACCCAATGCAGCAACGCCCACAACCAAATATATACCCACATCACACTCTCAATCGGATTCCTCAGCCTTCGCCTGGGCCTTACCCTTCTTTTCCGCCAACCGTCTCTCCTTCTTCTTGCGCTTGCGCTCCTCCTTATCGATACCGGCCTCCTGACTCGCGAAAGCCTCAGCCTCCATACCAAACTCAGCATCATTCATGACAAGATCATTGCTATCGTCCAACTGCTCGTGGTTGTTGGTCTGCGGAATACCCGCAGCAACATCCAGATAATCTTCACCAGGGTTCTGCTTCGCGACAGTCAGATCGCGACCGAGGAGCTCGCCAGCTAGACCCGCTTGCACGCGCTTCAGGTTGTGGAGGATCAGGTTCGGCGCTGAGGTGGTTGTCCGTGAGACGGGGCCGTGCTCGCTGATGCTGGCATTGGGTTGCAGAGATGGGTCTGTCGCGGCGCGGTCCAGGTAGGCGGCTAGGAATTCCTGTGCTGCGGACTGGCTGATGGCCTGTGTGCCTTGCACTGTGACTGGGGGAAGAGCCTGGGGACCTTGGGTTGCCATTTTTGGTGGAATTTGTATTCTTCGCCGGGTTTAGAGGGTGGTTTTTTGAGGTTGAGGGGTGGTGGGGAGCGGCGATTATAGAGCGGGTTTGCCCAGTGGTTGGATTGACAAATTTGGCAGTAGAGTTTCTCTTGAGTTCAGTGTGACTTGCGAGCAAAAGACGGAGAGTTGCACGGGCGACGTTGAGCATTTCGCATCTCGAAGATCAAAAAGTTCGGTGACGCTAGTCCTGATCGGGTAGGTCTTCTTAACGGGATGGGCTGCAACTATAGTTGGATATTTATTGACAGCTAAATGAACGTAGTTATATAGTAGTTATAGGATTGTAAGTAGATCTTACATTTCAAAACCAACATAATCCTATCTTCTATATATCCTAAGTATTTAATCTTCATCGTACATTATTGTAGCCATACATCTCTACGCGGGTCCGTGCCAGCGGCTCCGCGCTTAATTTTCTGTCTTCCGACGCCGCGTCTTGTCCACCAGGTCACCTCACTCGATCTCCAACTCCAAAAGCTCCCACCCCACCTCAATCGCCCTCCAAACAAAGCCAGGGTCCTCAAAAATGTTCTGTCTTCGCGCCAGGGCCGTACCCTCAAGCTTCCGGGCTACCACATCGGCCATGCGAACCCCGATGAACAGGTACGCAAAGTAGTCAACAACCTTTCCAGTCTCGAAACCAACCAGACAAGCTAACACTCTACTCCACCCGGAAACAGATTCGCCCAAATCCCACAACAACCAAGCACACCCTTCACAATGCACTCATCCCGACCTTTCTCCTCCCTCCTCTCCACGCCAACCCGCTTCCAACCCTCGCGAACACTCGGTGCCCGCCTCTCCTCGCCAACCACAATCGCAACCGCCTCCGTCTTCTCACCCTTGTCCTCACTCCTCTCCCAGAAGTCTCCCTCGCAGTCCCGCTCGTTCTCTGCAAGTGCCTCCCTAGGCGTGCGCCGTGTGACGTTCCGTCCGTCACGACGGGTCCAGAAGCGCCGCCATGGATACCTGGCGCGCAAGAAGGACAGGAATGGGCGCAAGACTCTTATCCGGAGGACTCTTAAGGGCCGGAAGGAGTTGAGTTGGTAATTTAATTCGTTTTGGCACCGATCTTTACATTGTCCCGGGGTTGTCATTAAGTGGAATAGGACGGCCACGGAGGTCACGGGTGGGTTGGATTGATTGGAATCCATACCGTCTCGCAACGATGGTGGGAAGAAATTAGGGGATCAATTGCTGATTTATCCATTCTTGAAACTATTGTAGTCTTCAAGATTGGATCCGGGTTCAGGCAAGGCAGTTGCTGGGGGGTCTTGTCTGGCGTGTACCATATTTACCTCTCCTGAGGATGTGTGTGACTACATTTCATATAGTGCGAATTTTTCAGGTTTGTTTGTTTCAGTCGAGATCTTGGGAGTCGCAGCTTGGTTGCAGCAAGTAAAAACGTAGATTCATCACTGTCTAGGTTATGTAGAGTCTCTTGACACCACAATTCCGTCTATGTGATCTACCTCGCTACCCATATAGAAATCGTTCGTCAAACATATCACTCGTCGTCGTTTTCATCTTCGCCATCCTCCGATCCGGTTTCGGAGTCCTCATCATCTTCGTCATCGTCCTCATCTTCTTCCTCGTCGCCAACCTTCAGACCATAGTCGTCCTCGAATTTCTTAAGAGGCTGAACTGTAGGAGTGAAGCCGGAAGTTTCGAAGCCCTGCTTGATAGTCTATTTGTATTTAAAAGTTAGTAATCCATCCCCGCAAATTGAAAACTGGGAACAACTCACATCTTCCAACACAGTCGCGCAGGTGACAACCAGGTTTGCGGTCTTGGGATCGAACAACGGCAAGATAATCTCACGCAGAGCACTCTTGATCTGGTCGGTGGTGATAGCGCGAACGTTCTTGAGCATCTTCTCCTTATAGTCGCTGGGCAAGTTGCGCACGACCTGGCGGATGAAACTGCCCTGGGCAGCATTGGCGGCGGTCATCTGCTCATTGGCATAGTTGACCACGATGCTGCTGATAGCACCTTCCAGCATCAAAGGATCGAAAGGCGTAGCACCAGACAGATAGTTCTCAACAATCTGCTTGCTAGACTCGAACGCCTTGTGGGAGTTCGGGGATCGGTACACATCGAAGTTGACAAAGCCAGTGTCGATGTTGTAACTGAAGTTAGTGCCGTACGCCAGACCAGTGCCGCGGACTGCAACCCAGAGGGGACCCTCGACAGCGTTCATGTATGAAATCGCGACCAGTAGGGCGGGCAGATCCGGGGAATCGTACGAATCCAGACCACGGGCAGTGGCGTAGGCGAAAGACGAGTCGACAGTCGGCATGGGGACAATGTAAGACTTGCCGCCAATGTTCTTGCCGGAATCACTCAGCCGGGATCGTCGATCAGTGATAGGCCGCAACTCAGTGCTGGTGCCCAAGGTCTCGGCGAAGGGCTTCCAGGCCGAGACCGGGTTCTGGAGTTTCTCGAGGTCGGCAATGACAATGATGCGCACGTTGTCGGGCTGGAAGAGCGACTTGCGGATCTCCTCCATGCGGCTCACAATTTCCTCGGGCTTCTCGGCAAGCAGACGCTTGACGCGCTTGAGGTAGCGAGCCTTCACCAAGGTTGAACGAGCACGGGTGATTGACTCGTCTGCGTAGTGAACCATCACATGTACAGCAGCAAGCATGTCGTCACCACTGCGCTTGGAGTCGGGCACATCTGCCAAGAGACGGGAGTTGATAGCGCGGAGTCTCTCCACATCGAAAATGGACTTCCAGCAAAGCTCCTGCAGCCAGGCGACGGCGTTCGCATACTTTTCCAGCTCGACCTGGAAGGAGATACGGAGCATCTCCGAGTTTCCAAGACCGCGAGCAGTCTCCATCGAGTATCCGACAGTGTCTCTCTCTAATTCCACTACGACCTGCTCAAAGTCAATTGTCTTACCATCACGCTGCACCGGAATGTTGAAGAACGCTTCGGTGTAGATGGACAGCAATGGGCGCAACTGAACGGGCACAGAATCAGCGGAGATGAGAACTGAAAGCTGGACAAAGCTACTGGGGATGTGCTCGAAGTGGATGAAAAGGGACTGGTCAGACTTGTCGGCATCAACAAGGGGTTGGATCTTGTTGTCGGGGCGTCCAGCCTTCAGGGCAGCACCTGAACGAGCCGTAGTGGTCTCCATGAAGTGGATTGACTCGGCTCCGGGGATAGCGAACTTTTCCAGCAAATCCTGGGGAATCTCCTTGTCATTCTCTGCCATGGCCTTTTCGAGTTTGTCGGCAAGCTCCTTGAGGCCCTTCTCACCGAGACGCTCCTTCTGTGCAGCGGCCCGGTCCTCCTCGTCCTTTTTCAGTGTGGCGGACATCTTCTGGGATGGGATACCTAAAATAGTGACATGGGCCGCATCCGAGATCCATTTCTTGATGAAAGAGCGCCACTGGTCCTCGGACCAGGTCTCAAGGACATCGTATTCCTTCAGAGTTGCGACATCCATCAAGGTCGAGCCATCACGCTTTCCGAACAAGAAATCAGAGATAACGTACTCTGCGAATGAAGAGGCAGAAGACTCAGTCGAGAACTTCCAGGTTCGGCGCTGTCGGGCGATACACTCTTTCAAGTACTTCAGATCTAATTCCTTGGTCATCGCATCTTGGAGGATCTCAAAGAATCTCTTCTCGACGCTCTCCAACTTCTCTGTTTCCACGCTGGTCAGCGTGAAACGAAGCTCCATGCTAGGGTGGTCTTCAGTTGCGTAGTAAACGGCACTGGCGAGCTGTTCTTTCTCAACAATGATGTTCTCTAACAGAGCTGCAGATGAACCAGCCAGGTACAAAAGGGACACATTAAGAGCCCCGGCTATGATACTGTAAGTATTTTATCTCAAATGTTGGTTGGGGGTTGAATCTTACCTAGGACGGTATCAGTGCAGTCTGGTCCCATGAATCGAATTTCGATTTCACCAAATGATTCATCTTCCTCAGGGAACTCAACCTTCTGGACAACGGACTTCTCTAAATAGGGAGCCTGCTTGGAATCCACCCAAGGTCTCTTGAATGGTGCCCCTGGGCTAGGAATGACATCCAAGATAGTGTCTTCGAACTTATCCAGGATGTCCAGCATGTTTTCCTGGTCGACTTCTCCGGTGAGGATCAGGCACAGGTTCTTGGGCTGATACATTTCACGGTGGAACTCGCGAATTCGTTCCGCGGGCAAGACCCGGAGCTGTTCCATCATACCTCCTGTCTCATAGCGGAAGCCTACACCAGGCGGGTAGGTCAATCGCCGGGCTGCCAGGTCAATTAGCTCAGCAGCATTGTTCTGCACACCCTGCATCTCAGAATAAACGACACCGGCATCATTTCCAGAGCCATCGACGTGGTGAACTTCAGTGTAGCAGCCTTCATCAGTCAGGGTAGGAGCAATCACATGCTCCAGGTAGACTGGCAGGATACGAGCAAAGCCTTCCCAGCCTGCGGTATCCAAAGTGTAGGCAGTGTGATCAGTTGCGGTCCAGGCGTTGGTGCTGGAATACACGCGGGTAGCCAGCTTGTCCAAGAAGCCCTTGTAGCGGTAATTGCGGGAACCCATGAAGCACAAGTGCTCCAGAGTATGAGGAGCACCCGAATCATCGTGGATTTCTGTAGCAAGCACGAAGTAACCGTTCACTTTGGGACCCGGCTGATCGATAACGACCACTCTCATGCCGGTGCGCTGTGATTCATACTGAGTGAACTCGCTCGGCGAGTAATCAGGCTTGAACTGCTGTAGCAATTTGAAGTGACTGTTTTTCACCGAGGGTGACATATTGATCAATGGGACAGACCCAGTGAAGATATTTCGCTGTGAGCTTGACAGTCTGATTATTTTCGTTAGCAATTCGTGTCCATTAACTCGGAATTCAATATAGTTCTGAGCATATAAGCACGTTCACGATGGATGGCCAAGGAATAGTCTGATAACAAGTGTGACAGCCATAACTCGGATGAGAGAAGAATATTCACACCAAGCTGGATTCGAATAAGATGGGAATGAAAGCAGCAACAAGCATATATTTTCCAAAACATGTTCTGAAAAAAAAAAAAAAAAAAAAAAAACATATGGAGAAGACCTGCGACATATCGACAAGGATAAGTGACATAGGTGGGGTGACGAGGAGAAATTTGGGGATAGAAGCTCAATACAATTGATACCCCTCCATAGACAAGAAGAACTAAGAACTCAATTCACATTGACTTACAGAAAACACGTTCTCCGACTCAGGGGGAGAATTCGAGACACGGTGAGTCTGAGATGTCTTCAAAAGTGTGTTGGACCCAGGATTTTCCAAGTTTGGGGGAGATCTGAGTCTCCGGTTTTCCTTACAAAGCGGAAAGCTGAAAGGAATTTATATAACAAAGAGAGAAATATTAGATTTCAAATTATTTGCAATCCGTCACATTTCAAAGGAATATATATAGTCTTATATTTAAATTCTAGTAAATTTATAGATCTGAAGCGAAAGCATACAGCATACACCACGTGGGGGCGGTGACGCCCAAATCTTGGAAGTCACGGGTTGTTGACAGCTCGACTCTTCCTTTACATGTGCATGTGCATCTACACTTTGTATCTCCAAAGCTCCGGACCTTGTGTTCCCTGACGGGTTGTGCTATATTCCGCGAAAATTGGCGTCATGGGAGGAAATACCGAGGAGCTGTGCCATGCGGTGTTAGGCTTCGTCACCGAGGGCACGTATCCCGAGGAGAGTGTAGTTGCTGGTAAGTTCCCAGCAACTGCTCTTGCCAGGGAGCTCGAGCTTATATCGAAGGCGCGCGAGCAGGTAGAGGTACATAATTTCCAATGTCTATCTATGCATGTCAACAATTACTAACCAGCGCTGCTTTACTTGATTAGAATGAGATTAGCTCCTTGAGTCGCGAGAACACCTTCGATGCCGACGACTGGATTATCCAAGCGAAACAACTCCATGCAGATATAGAACGCTCAAGATTGACTGCGCGAGAAATAGTCGCGCAGCATGAGCATACCGAACCCCTGCAGGCGAAGGTTGAGGATGCGAGGGCAAAAGTCGCCTTGGTTGAGACGGAGATTGCTTTCAATCAGGCCGTAGCGGGTACCCTCGAGGAGGTGCACCGTTTGTGCCAGCAGCTGGAAACAGGGCGAGCTGCCCTCAGAAGTGGCCAGATCACCACCGCCATTGAGCAATTGGAGTCCACCGACGTAGTTGTTGGAAAGGATGCCTTCTTTACCAACACAAATGTCATGAGTATACTTTCTGACGAGGTGTCACTGCTGCGATCGGAGATTGTCGAGGCGCTTCGTTCGCGCTGGGCTGAACAATTGAAAGTTGACCGACAACAAGGCGAATTTCATGTCTCCTGCGGAGATGCAGATGCAGATTCTCTTGAGGGCACCATTACGTCGTTGGCCCGACTGGATATACTCACATCTGCCATTGAGAAACTACAAAAGGATCTCTTGTCTGCGATCGTAAATCCGATCTTGCTACCTCACCCTGATGGAACCAGCCATGGTGTGGTGGTAACGGAAGCCAACATTCGCATTGAGCCTGAGACCTCAAAGACAACCGCACTGGAGACCTTGGATCGCCTTTCCAGTATTTTGGGCTACTTGCGACAGAATTTGCCGTCATCGGTGTCCGCAACTTTCTCCGAATCGTTCATTGTGACTATTTCCTCAAAGGCGATCTCTGAATGGCTATCCTCTGCTATCCCCACCGATCTAGGTGGCCTCGCCGAGTTTGAGAACGTCTTGAACCATGTTTTAGAGTTCACCAAGCAGATAGAATCTTGGGGTTGGACTGGCCAGGAAGAACTGGTCTCGTGGGTTAACCAAGCTCCACGCCTGTGGTTGACTCGGCGTAGAGTCGACTCACTCGATAGCGTTCGCAAAGTCCTTGCCGCCAGCCAGGGAACAACGAAACAGGTCGAACGAATTGAAAAGGAAAAGGTTTCCCAGGCGGAGGGTGCTTTATTGGAGAATGCCGGCAATGATGACTGGGATGCGGATTGGGATGACGATAAAGAAGATGAGCCCAATAAAGCAGAAACAGCAAAGCCCGAGGAAGAAGAGGAAGACGTTAGTGCGTGGGGTCTTGATGACGAGGACATCGAGGAGACTCCCGATCTGGCCAAACTACAGACAGCTGCTTCTACGGAAGACGATGATGCTGATGATGCCTGGGGCTGGGGGGATGAAGATGAAGATGACCATAAAGTCGATAATAATAAGCCTTCACAGTCCCAGAGCACAGCAGCGACACACCAAGCCGACAAGAAGAATACAACTGCATCCGTATCACCAAAGGAGGTCACCCTGAAGGAAGTCTTCACGATCACCGATATTCCCGAGTCTGTTCTTGGTGTCGTTCAGCAGCAAATCACTGATTCAAAGGATATCCTGCAGCCTGCGTAAGTGATACTATCCTGCTCATGCCTTCTTCGGCTTTTTTTTTTTTAGGCATCCAACTAACTAGAGCTCAGCCATGCCAATTCCCGCGTCGCCTCCTCTGGTGCTGGTCTTCTTGCACTGCCGACCTTGATCCTGGCTATGTTCAAAGCTACATCATCTACATTCTACTCACTGAAGCTTACCTCAGGACAGATGTACCTTTATAATGATAGTTTGTACCTTGCCGATGAAATCCGGAAACTGGTCGAGGAACATGAACTCTCCCGGCTTCAGCCCGATGTTGAAGCTTTGGAGAAATTTGGCAAACTTGCATATAGCAAAGAGATGCAGACGCAGCGCACCATCGTCACAGATCTGCTTGATGGGGCTCAAGGATTTGGACAGTGCTCCGAGCAGCCATTCCAAGCAGACTGTGATAATTCTGTTAGTGCAACTGTCGATCGGATTCGCGATGTCTACAAAGAATGGCAACCCATACTGTCTCATTCTGCACTGCTCCAATCAGTTGGATCTCTCTTGTCTACCGTGATCAACAAGGTGGTCATTGATATCGAAGATCTGGGTGATATCTCGGAGGATCAGTCACGGCAACTGGTCTCCTTCTGTAACCAACTCTCCAAATTGGAGGACCTCTTCATTCCCGAAACACATGGTGATGCCGAGGCATTGCCCGTCACTGCCATCTACGTTCCGAGCTGGCTCCGTTTCCAATATATGATCAATATCCTCGAGAGCTCCCTCGCAGATATCAAATTCCTTTGGCTTGAAGGGGAGCTGGGCTTGGAGTTCTCTGCTGAGGAGGTGATTGACCTGATCGAGGCCTTGTTTGCAGAGTCTGATTACCGGCGACGTGCTATTTCAGACATCCGGAAAGCGCCCAGAGGATAAACTCCATCCACCCAATAGAAATACAATTTATTCACCAGATATATGTTAAAGCTGTAGTTTATTGCAATCAACTATGTAGACCGAGTGGAGCCATCTCCGCGCTCTGCGCAAATGTGCCGCACGGGTCACCGTATTTTTTCCTCACCCGCCGAAAATGCGACAGCCACCAAAAAAGATTCCATCTGCAACATCGGCAGCAATCTAAACGATTTTACAATGAGTGAAGATTTGGTCACTTCTGCTGCAGCAGAGTCTGCGCTGAGACAAGTTCGAGTGCAGCTTATCAGCCAGCAGGAGGATATTGCTCTGCCTGAAAGCACCGGCCCAATTCTTGTTCCTACTGGTGAGAACCCATTGCCGATCAAAAATTATAAATGGTAGTATCAAGTACTAACCCTTCCTCTAAAAGGACTTCGACGATATGCGCTGTCGACACTTGTGAACAACCTTCTCTCAAGCGAAAAGCCCATTCCATTTGAGTTTTTGATCAATGGAACTTTTTTGCGGACCTCGATTGATGAGTATTTGGTCGACAACGGCATCTCTGCTGAGACGACCCTCGAGATTGAATATGTTCGAGCTCTGATCCCGCCCCTGCACATCGCCTCGTTCCAGCACGATGACTGGGTTAGCGCGACAGACGTCCTTTCCACGACTTCACCTGCTGCATCCTGGGCCTCAGGTGCGACTTTCACCAAGGGCCAGGAAAGAATCCTATCAGGAAGCTATGATGGTCTGCTCCGCATCTGGAACATGTCGTCTGAGACTATCGCGACCTCTCCTGCCGCCGCCGATGGTGGCCACACCGCCTCTATCAGGGCCGCCAAGTTCGTTTCCCCGAACCAGATCGCCTCGGCAGGTCTTGATCGCACGGTCCGATTGTGGAAGTATACCGAGGGTGAAGGTGGATTCACTGGAAAGATTTCTCCTCAGCTGGAGCTCTACGGTCACAAGGCTGGAATCGAGTCACTAGCAGTTCATGCCAAGTCCAACCGTCTGTTGACTGGTTCTGCAGACAACACCGTTGGATTCTGGTCAACTAAGAAGGCTGATGCTCCGGCAGCACCTGAGAACTTGCTTCCTTCCAGCAATGCTCGGAACACGAAGCGCCGCAAGCTGAACACATCCGTCACCACGCCCCAGCGTGGTCCTCTGACTCTTTTGTCAGCTCACACCGCACCAGTCTCTGCTGCTATTTTCGACGGAAAAGATGCTACCGTTGGTTACTCGGCCTCATGGGATCACTCCTTGCGCACTTGGGATTTGGTCACTGGTTCTCTGGTTGATACTCGCACCACATCACACTCGCTCCTCTCCCTCGAGCACCTCCCCGAACTCAGCCTCTTGGCTGCCGGCACTGCTGCCCGCCATATCACTCTGATTGACCCCCGCGCATCTGCCACAACTGTGGCTGCCATGACTCTCCGAGGCCACACCAACGCTGTTGTCAGCTTGGCCCGTGACCCCCACAGCACATATGGTCTCATTAGCGGTAGCCACGACGGCACGTGCAGAATTTGGGATATCCGGTCCACCAAGACCGACAAGGAAGGTGTTATTGGTGAGAGCGTTTACTCGATTGCCCGGAAGAGCCTTGAGGAGGAGGGCAAGTCGGATAGCAAGCGGGTTGGCGGTGAAGGTGTCAAGGTGTTCAGCGTGTGCTGGGACAAGACAGTGGGCATTGTCAGCGCGGGTGAGGATAAGCGGATCCAAATCAACCGCGGCGAAGGCGTGCTGTCTTCAAAGGCATGAGTGCACATATGGGCCTGGCGTTTAACACTTGGTTGAGGGCAAAAGTTTAGACTTACATATATTTTTTTTCTGCTTACTTTTCCATCTTCGCGTATATCTTTAGCTCGAAATTGGATATATATCGGACTGCACCTGACAGTCATTACGACTTTGCCGTACATATGGTTTTGTTTTGAAGCTTCCATTCACCCCAGGTTTATGTCTAGCCTATAATACATCCACAGAGGGGTTCCATTCACATACAAACCGGCAAAAATCGAGTGCCAGGAATCAATAAAACGCCAAGCCCATGCCTCTCGCACAAAATAGTGAGACAATCCCATAAAAGTAACAATCGAACAACACACCCCAAGTTTATAGTCTGCGCTCCATGCGGTTCAACTTGACAGGAGTTTTGATCTATTGGGATTTCGTTAGCCATGAGTTCGAATAGCGTTTTTGAGATATAGCAGCGCAAGTTGAGATATCAAGAGAGCCCTGGAAGGAATGGGGAAACCCACTTGAGTCCGTGTCCGCTGTCCTCTCACGGGCAAGCCCAGCGCATGACGTCGGCCGCGGTAAGTTCCGGTCTCTTTCATGCGCTTGATATCGTTCAGAACTTCTCTGCGCAGATCGTTCTCAATTTTCATATCGGACAGCACGGCTGTGAGGTCGAGGACCTGCTTGTTGGCCAGCTCGCCGACGCGGCAGGTCGGGTGGATGTTGAAGCGGGACATGAGGCGGCCGGAGCTGTTGTTTCCAATTCCGAAGAAGGTCTCGAGGGACTTCTGTAGTGCTCAAGGCATGTTAGTTGGGATATCGAGATTGCGGGCGCAATCGTGAGGGTTGGCTTGCCTTGAGCAGGTTCCGCTCGGGAAAATTGACACCAAGAATGAAAACCTAAGCGTTATTAGCGGGGGCTTTTTTTTAGAGGGTAGAATTGGACCTTGACGGTGGCTATCATACCATCTTGAATTGTGTTGGCTGGCTGGTGTCCTGACAATCGTATGGAGCCGTCACTTGTTGCTCTCGTTGAACTCCGGGAGAAATCCTCCGTCAACGTCAACGTTTTTCCGATGTCGATTGGTGCCTTAATTTCACGGCAGCAACCCGTCTATTCTCCGCACGCCATTGCAAGCTGGCCTTCTTCCCCTCCCAATTGCTCCATCTTCCCCCTTTCACTGTATCCGACCAGAGCAGTGGCAATTAGCAAGCATGTATTTCCGGAACCTATTTGTGTCCCTTTTTTTGGTTTTCGCCGTCGGCTTTGCGCTGGTTCAGGCTGAAGAGGCCAAGGAGCCTCGCGGCCCTAAGATTACCTCCAAGGTGATTGACATTGATGTTCTAGCTCGGTCTATATGCACAATACTTATTTTTGGTGATAGGTCTACTTCGATATTCAGCATGGAGATGAGTCCCTTGGTCGCATTGTGATGGGCTTGTACGGCAAGACCGTCCCTGAGGTTCGTTGAACTATGTCCCCATGGAATCAGCAATTGAGAGTTATCGCTGACACTATTATTTCTAGACCGCTGAGAACTTCCGGTATGATGGGATTACTATATCAAGATATCCAACATTTATCCTGGATATGCTAACCCACTTCTAGCGCTTTGGCTACCGGCGAGAAGGGCTTTGGTTACCAGGACTCTGCTTTCCACCGTGTTATCAAGGATTTCATGATCCAGGGTGGTGACTTCACCAAGGGAGATGGTTTGTGAACCTGCGAACAGGTTAGATTACATGATACTAAGTGTGTATAGGCACCGGCGGAAAGTCGATCTACGGCAACAAGTTCAAGGATGAGAACTTCAAGCTGCGTCACACCAAGAAGGGTCAACTGAGTAGGCATATTCACTCCTTTGATTCGATCTCACAGACATCTGACCATTCTTAGGCATGGCCAACGCCGGCAAGGACACCAATGGCTCTCAATTCTTCATTACCACCGCTGTCACCTCGTTCGTATCCCTTAGAATAAGTCTTTCGGTGCAATAACTAACTGAAACCACGCAGTTGGCTCGATGGTCGCCATGTTGTCTTCGGCGAGGTCCTCGAGGGCTACGAGATTGTCGACAAGATCCAAAACGTTCCCAAGGGACCCGGCGACAAGCCCAAGCTGGCTGTTAAAATTGTGAAGAGCGGTGAGCTCAAGATCGAGCCCGAGACCGAGGACAAAGGTAGCCGCGATGAGCTCTAGACAGGTGACTGTCTGCGCGATGTTTTCGCTGCTGGTCGGAAGTGGCTGATGATCTTGGATATCTTAAGAACTCGAGCAAGAGCCGGGTGTCACCGACAAAGCTCCCGATGCTCCCGAGACCGCCACGCCATCCTACTCCCTGCAGCCGGCTGTGATTTTCTTCGTCCTGGTCGCCGTTGTGGGTATCTGGATTGCCCGTCGGCGAGGCCAGCAGCAACAGCAAGAGAAAGAACAGTATGATGCTTAAAAGATGATGTTAGATCAATTATACATTATTTTTCGACCTTCCGCTCCATAAATCCCTGGATTTGAATATCCGATGACTCTCATCACAATTTGATAGATCATCTGTGGATGTCATCTTGGTCATGGAGGTGGTGATATAGGACTACTAGTGGAAAATCATCCACTCAGATCATTCGCCTCCTGTCTTAGTCAGACAAGGCGTCCAGACCGCCCTCGAGTAGCAACTGGCGAGTGGAAATTTCTTCAGTGGCGGTAAATACCTAAGGAGTACCTCTGGTAAGTAGGCATTTACACTATAAAACTAGGTTCTTTTGATGTACCTCCAATAGCCACACAGCGCCCCAAACTCTCCAACTTTTGTTGCCTCCTTCCCACAGACTTCATCCACCCGTTCTCTTTCTCTCTTGATTCAACCCCCTCCATCATCCCTTTTTTCAATATACTCTCTCTCTCTTTCTCTTCTCTCTAGAGTTCTTAGAATCGGGAGATTTGCATTTTCCATCTTCTCTGTGGTTTTCCTGAGCTTTACTTGTTTGCCACTCGATCTTTTTTTCTTATCGAGTTAAAACAGAAAAGCGATTTGATCTTTTCACCGTCTCTCTCTCGCTTCTCTCTCTCTCTCTCTAAAGGTACGCTTTACGTGGATTTCTTATTCTTTGCAAGTATCTTTTCCAGATCACTTGCGCTTTATCTACGACCAACGAATCAATTCCGGTGAAGCAGAAAAAAACTGTACGGAATATCGTTCACCTGCATCGGTCGAGATCGGACAGCTTCTAACTCTTGCTCTGCAATAGACATTTCCAACCACAAAAATGGCCGA